AAAAAAGACATTAAAAGAATGTGTTTGGTTCACAATAAAAGCCCCAAACTTGGTACATCATGTGTTTCAACCGTATGACATCTCAGCAAAGACAATGAAAAACCAAACTAAAGTGAGTTAGTGCCAAAAACTAACCCCAACGCTATAATAGAAAAAAGCCTTAGAAAATCTGAGTGGTGACCATCGCTTAATCTGCGGTTTAGATCTAAAAGTGGTCTTGCGCGGAAAGCCAGGACATACGTAGGTAAAATACGAAGCATAACTAACCACCAGAAAGATAAAAATCCAGTTCCCAACAAAATAATAAAGGTAATAACCTGCCCGACCTGTGAAACCTGTAATGGTTGCGAAAGGCACTGCAAACGACCTGAACCCCAAGCAAAAAAATACAGGCAGGTAAGTAATGGAGAATACGTAAGCAAATGCCGCAAAAACCCATGACGTATTAAAAAATAAAACAACAACACCACCACCAGAAATACCTTGACCACCACAAATACCTTGGCTTTTTGGAATACCTGACAGCAGATCTGAGGGATTTGTGTGCGACATACCTGATTGAGAAAAGTGACCACTTTATGTTAGCAAGTTAACTATGCTTGTTTGATTTTTTTTTTCTTTTTTTATCTCCCGAAGCAATATTGGACTGCTCAATATAAGTTGTTTTTTTTTTCAAAAATAAAAAGAAAAAAATTGTAATTAAAGAAACTCTAAAACTAAAAAATATATCAATTTAGGTTAATGGGCAATGGAAGAAATCTCTAAACAAGATACGGAGAAATCCTGCTTAATTTCTTTGATCAAGCAGATGCATTAAAGTTTTTGCAATAATAGAAAGTAGAAAAAATAATAATTTTTTCACAGTAACCAAAATGTGCTTCTTTTATTACCAAGAGATGCAAAAGTGACTGTAAAAAACCAATAAAGATGTCGGCAGATTAAAGTATAAAGATTCCGAAGTTTTTAAATAAGCAAGAAAGAAAAACATTTTGATCTACTAATGCCGAAGCCGGAAGAATAGTCACACTTTCAGCATAGCTTGATAACATGAATGCAAATAGGCTTGTAGGGACAGTAACTGGTAAGACACAACAAGACAAAAACACATTACACAAATCAACAACATAAAGGAAGCAAACATGCATATATGACATTTTCCACACATGGGCAATTATACATTCGTCACTCTACACAACGGACTAAACAAACCAATACATGTGAATATTATGTATATTCCCGAATATTTGACAATGACTTTCTTAATATAAAAAATATATATAAACTATGGATCACCATTTCACCCCTACACCACCTTTCTTCACTCAAATGTACCAAATGTAAGTAGAAATTTCAAGAATCGAAAGGAAGTCGATGCAACCTCTACATTATTATACTACTATTTCATATTTCTCTCTGAAGCAGTTATCAATAAGTTTCTACAATGACAAACATGATATCCAAATTTACCATTTGATTAACAGAAGTCCTTCAAGCAAAAGATGGAATCAAACTTGACATACCCATAACTCAAATTTTCAACAAGTAATCCGAATCAATGTGTAAAATAAAACAAAAATAAAACAATCAATCCTACCTGGTGCAATGTACCTGTACGGCCCAACGATCATGGACACGAAAAAAGTTTAAATTTTAATAAGGCCTAGTAGGTAGTAACTACTCAAACCAGTCGGTGCAAATCAATTCATGGAATATTAAACAATAATTTTATTTGTACTTGGTTGCCCTTTCAATTATATCAGTTAACCAAAACAAGAAAGGGTACTGATAAAGTTATAGGGACTATAATATATTCGACAATCCATATAAAAGTTCACGACCAATATGCACCATTCAGGTCTTCAAAATTTCCAATTTTATCCTCATGCAGTATATAAGTTGATTCATGCAACAAGTCCAATAAATTTCACAGTTTAACAATTTCTTCAAGATACTGCCCTGAAAACCAGCTTTTTATTTATTTATTTTTTTTCCTTCAAAAAAGG